TAATGAATAATGTATAATTAAAATTAATTTTTAATATTTATTAATATTAGTAATATTTAAATTTTGTTAATATTTATTTATAATTTATAATAATAGATAATAATTAATATTAATGAGGGTTATAATTGAAAAAAATGATAACAAGCTATCAACACGCTACTCCAAGTAGCGTTTGAATAATTATGTGCATTCAAATGTGTACCTAAAAAATAAGCTAGTTTATTTTTGCCAAACAATGCCTAATATTTATTCTTAAAGTTTTCTGTTGGTGCTCTCACTTGATAATTATTTTTTGGGTGATCCCCATATTTGGGAAAAAACTTTTCTCTCTTTCTCCATTTTGGAGATAGTTTTGGGGAATCTATTGAAGCAAAATATAGGCTCAAAATCCTCATTTTCTCCATTTTCCCTATTTTAGAGAAGTTGGAAATGCTCTAAGATTGATGTCGTTTTTTTTTGGTTTAGAGGTCCATACATGGCTATTCCACATCAATTGGAAAGTGAGAAACCAACGGACATAATAATTAATAGAAAAAAGACAATACTATATTGAACTATTTAATTCAATTTATTTCTGGTCCCCTCTACTCTTTTAATATTAACCATATAGTATATGTTGTCCGACAATCATGCCATTAAAAATGAAGAATATAAACATAGGTTTCTACAATATCTAATATGTAACCATGAGTTCTTTTTGCAAGTCGTGTGTCCTGTACATTCGTGAGTGGATACAAAACCATGTCCAAGCATTTTGAAGCAACTACACTTCACACTCTCATAGACAGTTCATTTACTCTTGCACCTGCTTATGAATTTTTTTCGAAAAAACCACTAAGAAGATAAAACTCAACAAAACAATACTTACATATATGAGCACAAACCTTGGGATGATAAAATGCATGCTCCAATCTCTAAGTATGATCTTTCCCTATTGAATTTTGGTTCTAAGATTGTATTAGAAGGGAATTGAGTATCACATAATGGGAGATTTGCATGAACTTTAATCCCATCTCTTTTGAACCAAGTCTATAGCCAATCCTTGCGTCAAGTGATCGGCTAAGTGTTATGGAGGCCGAACACAGTCTACCATTATCACCCTATGGATTATCAATTCCTGAATCATGCTATGTCTAACACCTAAGTGTCTATTATAAACTTGTCTATGAGCCTTAGCTAAAGTGGCAACACTATCACATAAAAATGAGTGATATGGATTTCGACAATAATGAATTTTGTAGACTAAGTTTCTTAACCACTTTGTCTCTTTACCGGCAACAACTAGCACTATGAATTGAATCCATAGTTTAGTTCATGATCCAAGTTTGCTTCTTGGAAGCCCAACAGATGGCACCCTTCCCCTAACAAGAAGCACTGAACCACCCATAGATGAGTGATATTCTATATTGGCGATTCAACTAGCATTTGAGTAAGAAACCCAACATATGATATACCAGAATTCATTAAACTCTTTAGGTACTCTAATACCCTTCTAATTCTTTGTCGATAATGAGTACTTAGGTTTGTTGATTCTCTTTCTCAGTGATTTGATGATGACCCATTTTATCTATCGAAGTGTATTATCTCTGTATTCAGTTTCAACGATCATCACTGAGTCTGTTCAGTGATCGCTGAACACGTATTGTAATTTGTTCAGAGACCAATATCCTTCAAGAAGACAAAACTCACACCACAGATCCTTTAACGACATCAAAGACAAAAGCTGAAGATTAGAGACCAGCAAGTTCGTGATCTGAAGCAGTTTTTAGTGATAACAAGCTCATCTACATAGTGTGAAGTCTGCACAAGAGTCAACGAACATTGATGAGACCTTCAGCATCATTCCAGTGTTCAGCGATCAAATGAATCTTGTCGAGCAAGATAGTTTTGTCTTTGTCCTTCTGGACACCAAGGACAAACCCATACCTTTCTAAGTAAAGTACAGTACGGAGTCACTCCTCTGTCTCCAAACGTGCTTACCTACTTTATGAAAGAGGACTGTTCATATACAACCAAAAGGACTGTATACTGCAACAAAGGGCAAGATTTCCTCTAAAAGCTTGCCACGTGCTTTATACCTTCTGAATTGCATTTATTGCAATTGGTATAAATAACTGATTAGTTCTCCTCTCGGTTATCATCTTCCTCACTCTAAACTTACCCAAGAAGTTACTTCTCTCTCTACTATTTATCTAAGAGAAAGACCCACTTTAACAAGTGAAGAGCACATTAATTCTTATCTTATTTCTTGTAGCAAGTCTTTCTTATTATCTGTAATTTTGTGTGTATCTTAGATTGTTTATATAGCATCTGTATCATATCTCTTCCGCAAACAATCTGTAAAATTTGTATTGATCTTCTTTATCAATATATAATTTTTAAAAGTGAAAGCTATTGTGTTTGTATTCACCCCCTTTCTACAAACTGTTACCTATAAACTCTTGTAGATCCGACTGGGACCAACAAGTGGTATCAGTGCAATGTTTGTTTTTGTGTTATATTGTTGTTTTACTGGTGTTTTATTATCTCTTCTTCTCTAGATAATTTATTCCTTTCAAAATGGCTTTGCAAAATACTAGCACAAACTTTCACGACAATGGCTCCTATGCCAAACCTTCTCAGTTTATTAGAGACAACTTTAGTCTCTGGAAGAATCGGATGTCTCTCTTCTTGGAAGGTGTGGATCATGAGATTCCATACTATATAGAGAATGGACCTTATGTTCCATCCACTATCTCTCCAGCAGTTCCTGCAACTGCTATGTCTGTCGTTATTCCTGAATGATAGATTCCAAAGCTCCCTCATCAATGGAGTGATGAAGACAAGAAGAAAGTGGCTTTAGACACTTGTGCGAGGTCTATAATAGTCACGACTCTTCCTGACAAGGTCTATCACTCTGTGATGAAGCTTAAAACCTCGAAAACTATGTGAGACACTTTATGTGTTCAATATGAAGGTACTTTTGAAGTACAAGAATCGAGAAAAGTTAATCTAGTAAGACAATATGAAAGTTTTCTTTGTGGAAAAACTGAATATTTGTCTGAAGTACATCAACGATTTAATTGTCTTCTTATTAAAAAAAATATCAGTATTATATCTGAGACGGTTAAAATAAAAAGGTTAAATATCATGAGAACATAAAAAAGAAAGATGAAGAAAATTTTTATATGTAAATAATTGAAAAAATCTATTTAAATATATGCATATATGAATCTAAGTTATAGATTATTCATATGGATACATATATACATCATCAAATGAATTTTTTCAATAACTTACGTATGAAAATAAATTTAACCTTATTTTCTCTTCAATCTTTTTCAAAAGTGAAATATATCGATTGTTCAAAAAGTAATACTTTTTTCAAACAATCTTCTACACAATGTTTTGTTGGTGGGTTAGCAGCTTAATGAGGCTCA